TAAATGTAATTTCTTTGTTCTTTTTTTATGGCAAATAAAATAAAATGAAGGATATACTGTCAATGTTAAACCCGCGTAAATGACAAATATTCATCTTGTTGCTTAGCTGTCCTAAGCACGATTGAAGCCTATTTTCAATGGCAATAGGAACTATCTAACGCACTAACCACTACATAATTACAAGATTCTTTTAAAAACAATGATATGAGAATTTATGGTATATTAATTGGTTCACTGATGCAAATAATTACCATCTGATCAGCTGAACCGTGGAATACTATGACCATAAGTGTGAAGTCCTGCTAGAGGTAATCTACAAAAAGGCAACTTTTTCTCTTTTCTCGAAGTCTCGGAGGGAGATTTAATTAAAAATCATTGGATAATTGAGATCCCGAGAAGACTTAAATAAATAAACAATAGCCTCCATTTGGCGTGAAAACATGCTAAGATATTTGTCTGCGGACATTATCTGTTCCGAGAAGCGAACAGTTTTCTGAGAGCGTAGCTCGAGGAAAACTGTGAGCTTCGAGGAACAGATAATGTCCAAGGACAAGTATCCTGGCATATTTTCGCCCCAAATGACTCTGAAGGTCTTATCAACTGCCACTTCAAAGATGTCTAGAGCTCATAATCTTATTGTAACGCGTTAAAGCGGTTTTTAATTGAGCGTCGTAAAATCAAAGTAATTACTCTGGCCAATCAGAGAAGACAAAAACAATCTAGAGAACAAATCAAAACTGGAAGGAAATAGAAGTAACTGACGCGAAGAGAGTGAAAACGTTTACGAGCGAGTCACGATTGGTTTTGGCTTCACTTCTGATTGGATGACAAAGTTACGTGAGCTTTTAATCCAATCGTTTAGCGCAATGATGCAAAACCAAAGCAAATGTGGTTTACTTTCAGCACTCAAGTGAAAACCGGTTTATCCTGTGATAAAGCATTCACTGTAAACCAAGATTTTCGTCACCGTACTTGATTTGTACAATATTAAGCCAACCTCTCTACTTCTTATTCCATATCAACTAGCCCGGTATGACTGTTAACATCTAAAATACTAAAGTAATTCATAGATTGTTTATTAATCTGTGATAACTCCAAATATGGAACGTCCTTCTGCAACATCAGCTCCAAGGTCTGACGGAGTTGTCCAAAAGTTGGTCTCTCCGAGGCTTTCTCATTCCAGCACGCCTTCATTATCTGGTACCTTGAGAGTTGACAAAACAAGCAGAGCTCAAAAGATCAGGAGTGCGAGTTGATAACAATTCTGTTACGTATCACAACTCATAACAGAAACTGTGGTATATGATTAGCACGGTGGACACCGGATCAAGTGGTGAGGTGAGTAGGGGAGGGAGGGGAGATGGAAGCCCTGGTCAGTGCCTCTCTCTAGCCTAGGGACTTGGTATCGGCACATGGTAAGGCTAGCGTGACAAAATTCCAGCGGTTACACGTGATGGACTAGCTAAGCATCTCATCCGAGAGAAGTGGTGATACTTCCTAAGTGCTTCACGCTATGGGAAGTGTAGTAAGCGCCACGCTAGGAATGCACATATTGCCTTGCATATAGGCTCGTAGATGGAAAGTAAATGTNGCCCCTACATTTTTTTGTACTTCATTTGTAATAAAAATACATCCTCCTAGAAGGTATGCTGTCGACTAATATTAGTTCAATCAAAGTAGTGTGCAGCTATGTACTATGAATGAATGTCTTGAGTAAGGTAGTAAGGTTTTTAAAACTCAGATATAACAACATATAAAATTTACCATACGGATACAAGCAGTAACAAAACTAAAAATCAATTGATCAGACCTGGGATAGCATGTCATCACTTCCAAGATTGTCGCAGTAGTGAGAGCAGTTTGCCTCCTTTTGGGCGACCTCCAATGTGGAGTCGATGACCTGCAAGAACTAATAGCTTAACCAATAAAGCGGAAGACCTTCAACTAGAGGGGAAACATACCGTAATTAACCAGGCAAACGCAAATGCGTTACACGAGCAATAAGATGCCAGTCGGGATTCTACGTATTCTCTGGGCCAAACGAGTTTGTCGCTGGGTGAAGTGGTCCATACCGCCGAGGTTTATTCCGGTTTCCATGGAGTTAAGCGACTAAGAGTATTTCTGATCCCCCTAGACGGAATGCTCGTCTACTGCGGGGTTACCCGCTCCCTCCCCCTACCCGGGCGGAGAGAGCCAATACGCGACCGTTCCTCGCGTAACGGGAAGTGAGCAAGATTAAACAGAGCGTTCAGCGTTTAGACCAGCTAGATGGAGCACTTGGTGGAGAAAGGACGTTTAATTCGTTTTGTTTTCATTTGGAGCTATAAAAGGGAATACTTCCCGCACTACCACGGGTACTGGTATTTATATTTATTTACAAATTAACAAACCTGATTCCTTCGTTTTCTCAGATAATTGAGTAGGTCACCGTTTGAAACATATTCCACCACAAGATACATGGGCTCAACAGATGTACAGCATCCCAACATGTTCACTATGTTTCGGTGAGACCCAACTTCCTTCATCAGTTGAATTTCTTTTAGGAACTCTCTCTGTTGTTCGTCGTCAGCTTCCTCTTCATGAATACCAAACAGAAGATGAAATATCGTATGTTATTACTAAGGACATTGGTAACTATCACAACTTGTCAAAGTTGGCATTGGTTATTCTTTTCTTAAATTACGTACGGCCGTTTAGTTCGTGTAAGACCCTCAGTAAGATTTCTGAATAAAATTTCTGAATAATATTTTCCCATTACTAAAACAGCCGTATAGTTACTTCAGTGACTCTAAGACTATCAAATTTCATTAGACTAGTATGATAGTTTTGTGGAGCCAAGTATATCTTTCAGTGAAAATCCATTACATTCCCTTAATATTTAACACTTACCACATAACATCTTGACAGCGACGGTTATCTTTGGCCTTTGAATTTTGTCCTTCCACTGACCTTTTGAACGTAATTTTTCCTTCCGAGGGCTTTCGCGTGATTTCATTTCCGCTTTGTGCACCTCGCCAAACTGACCATGTCCAATTTTTTCTATGCAAATAATTTCATCAGGGAGAATTTCCCAATGGTCAACTAAACAAGCATCTTTTCTAGAAAAAAATGATGAGAAGCGAAATCCTGATTTAATGTCTATCGTTTCGAATCGAATCTAACCTTTTACTTTCGAAGTTTCTCATGTTTTGAAATGCTCTTCAATGAGTTGTGTCTGTGCTCCATGTTAGTCGTGGGTTACATCTGCACGTATTCAACGTCACATTCCTTTTTCACTAGTTACCGACTCTTGTTAATAAGTTTGTTACACTGCATGAAGTTTAACGAAATATTACACAACGAATGCCGAGTTTTATTTAGAAATGGTAGTACATTTATTTGGACCTTATTTTAGAGAAGTTTTTCATCGATAGCTGGTATCTAACATCAGGTAATGTAAGTGATGTTTTCCAATAGTAAATATTCATTAACAACCTGAAGCTATATACCACCTGTGCTAATATCTCTCTTTTTTGACCTTTTGTAGGTGTTTTTTTTTTTAAACGGATAGATTATGACTGTGCAAAATGTAAATGATAAACCACAGGCTTCATGCCAGACGCTTACATTTTTTGTTCATTATATTTTGTTTGTTTCTTTTTTTGTTTGTTATTTAATGTATGATCTACTATATTCCCTCTTCTATCACCTTCCTGCCCAAATATATATTCAAAACTGACGTTACCAGTCTACTGCTCCCACCTCTCTCCAAATTAGAAAAGAATGTCTGGCTTAACACCATAATGGAGAACGCATTACCTTGTTCTGCGACAACTGGCAGTCAACGAGAGTAGCCGTCGTCTCTTGATGATGTACACCGTTAAAACTGTAACAACAATGGTACACGCTAATACTACCAGGGATGTTAATAAGGCAGTGGAAGAACTGGACTTGGAATTCTGGACAGTTGGATCTTCGAAATGGGATCCTGGAGACGTCTTCTCAAGAACTGCTGAAATGAGGCAAGGATGAAACGAATCACGTGCCGATATATTGATGATGTCCTGCGTTATCCACCGGAGTGGAACTCACTTCGAATGCAAAGTGAGTACTTGCTGGAGCTTTACTCCGTTCTCCTTAGCATGAGGAACTGAAGTCCTGGCTAATAATTTTACCGGTGAATAGGATGTTAGTTCAAGTAGGATTCACACTTCTATACTTTTATAGCAATTTTTAGGTTCACTATAGTTCTGAGTGGAGAGAAGGAAAGTGGCTCTGAAAAGGTTTTCACGCTGGCCATAGAGACAACGTTTCTCCTGAAGATCAAAGGATTAGTGTCAGTTTTCATGCAGAAGATTGGTGAAGGAAATTAATGATAGAGTTAATATACAACTTCTAATTGGAGAATCACTTTAAAAGTACAGGAACGTGGCGAGTTGGCCAGTCAATATAGAGAGACGTACATTGTACTAACACATTTTTTGATACCAGTACAATTTGGTGAAGGAACGGCAAAGAATGCATAACCTACCAAGTACATTCCTTCAGAGACTAGCCCTGACAATTTTGGATTTAAAACACTTCAGTTAGCCTTACACCGTATTTTAGTGTGGACTGGCGCTAGTGATTTCCCAGCTCTGATATTGCAGAAGTTCGTAATTCTGAAGATAAGGAATGGGAAACAGGCCCGTAACCAGGATTTTATGTGGGG